CTAAAATGAATGAGGAAACACATAAATCAAGTAGAAGTGTAATCAGTGTAGGATAGGGAGGGGTTTATGGATGAGTAATTAAAGAGATTGTAGAAGAAAGCAGGATTATTAATTAGACAGACCGAGAAAATAACATAAATGCCCTTTTGCTTAAAAGATTATGACTCTCAAAACACTAACAGGCCAAAGGCGCCAGAAGACAAACCATGCTTGAAAATGAAGCTGGAGAAGTTACAGAGATAGTTTAAACAAGGCATCCTTTAAAACCACTGAAAAGTTTTAAGCAGTATAATGATTTTAGATTGTCAGGATTACAGTGGCTACAGTGAACTGATGCCTTTAAATTGTGGTGGCAGTGAAGAATATTGCCAAAAAACCAAACAAATCTTGGATGAAGTGTAGCCAGAGTGCTCCTTACAAAGACCGTGAGAATTTTACCTCCTACTTTGAGCACGGTAAAAGGACATGATTCCAACACACAGTGATTTCTGTACAACGGACTGGAATCTTTCCCAATCCTGTGCCATCCTAACACTCTCCACTGTGCTTCAGGCCACTCTTCAAGTCACTGTGCCAATCCATCGCACTGAGGGGCTCTCTGTCCCTGACCCTCCACTTTTCCAAGGACTAGCCTCTCCTGACAAGATGCTGGCAGTATATGAATGAAACCAGTTTCACAATCTTTGCTTCTAAAGTAGCATTCTGGCTGTACTTCGTTCAAAACAAATTTTATTCTTTCGGCATTCCATGATATATTCAATACTCTTAATAGCACCACAATTCAAAGGCATCAATTCTTCTTCAGCCTTCCTTACTCACTGACCAACTTTCACGTGCATATTAAGCAACTGAAAATACCCTGGTTTGAGTCAAAGTGTGGTCTTTAATGTGACATCCCTGCCCTTCAGCACTTTAAAGACGCCTTCAACAGATTTTCCCAATGCGGTCTGACATTTGATGCCCTAACTGCTACTCCATGGGGATAGCACAGGACAGGACAGGGTTCAGATCTGTTGTGCATAAGTGGTCGCTTTGAGCCGACTCTACGGTACCTACCACCCACCACCCAGTCCTGCCAGGTCACATCACACACTGAAGGGAACAGCTACAAGGGTGGAAACCACCTAAGATTATCTGTGTGCAATCCCTCACTAGTTCGTTGTGGGTTTTTTTTTATATCGTAATTTATTAAAAATTTATTGTCCATCATTTATATATATCTTTATTAATTTTAAACTTTATTATTTAGAGAAACCTAGTCCACAGTGAGACGTGCTGTTAACCCCCTAAGTCCATACCTCCACCAGCAGCTCCTTTGGACAAAGATCAGAGATCTCCTCCTGTGCGTGGATAGCACTGGAACTCTGATGTAGTCAGTTGTCAGTTTTGACGTTGATGGTGGTGAGAGATTTACAGTTTACCCTTCCTTCCCTGGAACGTAAGTTTTGTGAGAGTTGTGACATTTTTTTTAATACAGTGTTATACCTTTTAAAAAAATTTTATTTTATTAATTTTAATGAACATTTACAGATTTTGGATTTCCATTCATTCATCTTTGCACTTTTCTTCCTGCCCAGCCCTTCCCGCCCCACTTCGCTCCTCTAAGTCTTTGGTATACAATCCCTCCCGCACTCCTCCCACCGCCCCATAGGAGTCCAGAATTAAGGTTGCAAAGTGGAGTGCACACGTTCGTTTTAACGTTCCATTTGGAACAGGTCACCCAGACACGCCTTCCCTGTTCGCCTAACTTTTCACAAACGCTAAGGACTTGAATGTCTTCAGACATAGCGGCTCCCGTTTTCTCAATGGCATCCCAAACATGCCGCCCTTAGGCGTGGGGACCCGAGGTGCCTGCTCCTCCTCTCCGTGGGGCTGGGGGCGCAGAGACCTCAGCCGCCCGCCCCCTCGACCTTCCCCTCTGCGGGGCGCGGGGCGCAGGGGCCCGAGCTGCCCGCCCACCCGACCTTCTCCTATGCCGGGCCGGGGGGCGCGGCCCGGCCGCGGGCAGCAGGAAGAGGCGTGACGTTGCGGGAACTCCGCGTGACGTCGGGTGGGCTCGCGGCGGAGCGGGTCTGGCCGTCTGGGAGCCTGGCCGGCGGCCCTCTGCCCTGCCCCCGCCCCGGAAAAGCGCGGGCTGCCCTGAGGGGCCGAGTTCCCCGCTGGCCGGCCGGCTGTGCAGAAGGACTGAGGCAGAGGAGGGGAGCCCGAGCAGTTCGGTCTTCGCAGGCCAGGGCGCCCGCTCCCCGCAGGGACCCGGAGGCACCTCCCGGCGAGCCTGGAAGCTGTGAGTAGAGGAATCTCCCTCCCTCCCTCCCCCACCGCAGGCGCGGGGCGCGGCGGCACTTCCGGTCGGGCGGGAGCGCGCGCACTGAGCGAACTAGTTTGGCGCCTGTGGCGGGAGTGGTGTCAGAGCTCCCGGGTAGCGTCGGAGGAGGAAGTGGCTGTGGCTGGAGGAGGGCGAACTCCGTCCGCGCGCTCCGTCTCTCGCGTGTCCCGGGAGGAGGTGCCTCCCCGCGCGCGGCCGCCGCGCGCATGCGTCAGCCCCGGCCGCGCTCCTGCCCCGCTCGCCCCGGCCGCGTTCTCGGGGAGCCCTGCGCCGCCGTTCACCCGCGGAACCTGCCGGCACCTGTTGACAGGTGATGGCCGAGGGCCCTGCCGCGAGGGGCTGCAGTGAGCGCCACCGCACCCCGCTTCAGCTTGTGGGAGTCCCTTGGGATGTGGTTGGAAATAGCTTTTGTCATTGAAGCACCTTTTATATCATTTTACCTCAGAGTCAGAGAGTATTATTTTATGGATAAGGGCGTTCTTGTTATTTTCTTTATTAAAAAAAAAACAAACAAACCTCTTCCACTGGAATGCCCGAGAATATGAACAAATCCCGGTCGTATTTCAAATACAGTGCATGTTCCGTTTTCATTGTCTCAGAAATATGTAAATTCTTAAAAAGCTTGTTAAGTGCCATCGAGTCGGGGGCGACTCATAGCGACCCTGTGAACGAAAGACCTGGACACCTGCGTGACTTTCGTCCTTTGTCCAAGTTCATAGGGTTTCCGGAGGCAAGCTATTTCAGAAGTGGACGCCACTCCTGCTTCCAGGCTTGTTCTAATCGGGGAGCTCCACCAAACACTGTCCGCCATGGGTAACCATGCTCGCATTCGACGCAAGAAGGTTTTTAATTTTTAAATTTCTGTGACTCGTAGGTGACTCAACGGCACATAACATCATCGTGCTTTGCACTTTACCACGTGGTTGCACGCACGATGTAGCCCCCTTTTGCAGTTGTTTTTGTGTCCCGTCGAGTAGAAATTTCAGTCTTTTCGTCACAGACTTGAAATGCTTAGCTGAAAACGTTTGGGCCCCGTGGGTCACTTGTTCTCAGTGGTGCGTTATCGGCTAAGAAGCCAGGCGCGCACCAGGCTATTTCTCTGTGTTAAAAAGGTCTAAGAGTTAATGGGAGCGCGGTGGCTTGTTCATTGGAGTTTCCCTGCCAACCTAAAGACATCTCCTCTCTGGTGGTTCGAATCCACCAGCCGCTCCTCCTTGGGAGAGAGGTCGGCAGTTTCTGCCCATGCTATTTACAGCTTCAGAAATCCGCTGGAGGCTCAGATAAGAGTTGGTTCTGACTCAGTAGCATAAATTGACTTGAGTTTGAGTTCATGGCTTCAGTTCAGAAACCTGAAATATTTATTACTCCACTTAAACTTAATAGCCTATCAGAAACTTTATTAGCTGCAGAAGTAATAATAATGATGCAGCCATTTACCTGTACTCCTAGAAATGCTCAAAGTAGCTTTACCCTAATTGCTTGCTTCCTGTAAATATTAGTTTTATGTATTCCAAGTTCTTAGCTGTATCTTGCTCACTGACTTCCCTTGTGAGAAAACTAGACATCATTTCACCTGTATAATACTTGAATCATCTGTCATGTTCTCCTTTATGTCTTTATGTATACAGACCTGTGAGCATTTGTGAAATCAAGTCTGTCAGCAAACTTTTTGGTTTGGGTGTTCAGTAAAATGCTTCACCCTATCAAAAAAGAAGTGCATTTTTAAATAATGCTAAATGAATACTGACCATGGGTGATTATGAACCTTTCAGTGTTAGAATCTTCTCAGTTTAACAAGGAGCCCTGGTGGCACAGTGGCTATGTGCCTGGTTGCAAGCCAAAAGGTCAGTGAATTGAACTTGCTGTAGAAGGAAAGAAGTGGCAGTCTGCTTTCATGAAGGTTTATAATCTTGGAAACTTTATGGAGCGCTGTTTTATTCTGTCCTAAAGGATAGATTGAAGTTAAATCAACTTGACAGTGAGTTTTTTTACTTAATAAAATTTTGGATCATTCTAGAAGAAGTAAGAATATTTTAACTAAAGGCTAAATATGGGAGCTCTGTTGTTTTACTGGATAAGGACTTGCCCTGTAAATCTCAAGGTAAGCTGTTCAGATACATTACCTGCTCCACTACAAAAGGATGAGCAGTCTCCTATGGTGTGATTTAAAGCCTCTGAAGTCTGCTGAGTGGTCAGCTCTGAGTCAGTTCCAACTCCACCTCCACAGCAATGACATTTTTTTAATATTGAAGGTCCAAACAGCCAAACAGGGTGCCTTTGTGACTGACTGATTATATACTAGGCTTCTAACTGATAGGTTGGTGGTTCAAACTCAGCCTGTGGGTCAGTTCTATCTGCTCTGTTACATGGGGTCATAATGAGTCAAAAATAGACTTGAAAACATCTAACAAATAACAACAAAGGCCAAACCAGTGGTTCTTTTTTAAGTCCTAATCATATTCTTCCTTCACTCATCCTCGGCTTTCCTTTTCAGTTTCACCTGGACATCTGTTTTTGTCATGACTGTAAATCATTTAAAAATAAATGCAGAATTCACTTGTATTTTCAATTTGTTGTTCCAGGTATCTCAATTCTCTCCATAGACAACTTCATACTTACATAATGTAACAGAAAAGACATAACTCATTCAACAAAGAGAAGTTTATTCAGCAAGATGAGTGTCTCTGGAAGCAGCTGTGGAAGCCCTCCTGCAGATGTATCTAATGACTTTAAGGAACTTTGGACAAAACTTAAAGAGTACCATGATAAAGAAGTTCA